GATTTTAAATTTATAAACAAATTTAATCCAAATAATGAAATGTTATATATTTATTGATGTTATTTCTAAAATTCCAAAAATTGCAAATTGATTTTTTTATTCGAAAGGATTTATGAATTTGTAACAAAAAAATTTTAAGTTGATCAATAGTTCATTTTAATACTTAATAATATCTGTCTAATTAATGAGGCTGTTAGATCAATTGATTCGGCTTATTTTACTTTTATCATCAAAAGATATTACACTGAAATAGAGACGTTCTATTAATAATGCAGATTATTTTTCAAAATGATGACAGTTAAAATATCTAGAATCAAGCGAGTAGAAGTAAATGTGGATAAATTACATCCTCTAAAATTAGGGAATATATTTAAGAATAAAATCAATAGAAACTTGGTAGTTAGATGATGATCATCTTCCTTATAACAATTGGCTAATCAATGTTTTGTTCTCAATAGCTCCAAATCATTTTTGTTTAAGCATCAAAACCAGATAGTCAATCAATTATTTCACTCTTAGAATTAAAGCAACAAGATGTTTTATCTTAGGATGATTCAAGAATTCAATATATCTTATGGACGTTAAAAAATGGAAGATTTTAAAGAGATCAAAGAATTCAGTAGAAGATGAAAAAATCTGTTAAATGAAGAATGAAGTTGAAAATGATACTAAAAGACGAAAATTAACTCAGTAGAATAGATTAAAAAAATTGAATTGAAAATTTGCAAATAATCAAAATCAAAAGAGGATAATAACAATGATTAATAAGAAAATTCGAAGATTAAATAAAATGTAAGAATGACTTATCTATAATTATATATATACATAAATATATTATTAGGCTATTAATTTTGATAAAATATTGTTCTTATATCATAAAACACAAAGTGAGAATTATAAAAATAATGTTTCATTAGACAAGTAGTTGTAATTAATATTATGTATGAGTTAGTTTGAGTTAAAGTTATGAGGATCATATATTATTAGTTTAGTAGTTTAAACAAATGAAAGTGAAGTTGTCATTTCTAATAATTTCAGTTTAGGATGTGAAAAATCTAATAGAGGAAACATAATAGACTGATTAAGTGACTGAGAAGTCAAGAATGAAATTTAATCCTAAATTCGTTTGGATAATAAATTATTCGAATCCAGAAATGCTCCACTTTATGTTTCATGTCGGAATTTACGTGTTGAAACTCGCAAGAGAACACTAGACTTTATATATTGATATTAAGAGGAAAAGATTAAGAGAGATCAGCATACTTTATTACTACGTACTATTGAGTATAATGCTTGAAATTGTGAAAGGGTGATATATATAAATGTTGGGAAAGCGGAGCTAATTGGAATGGGAATTAATTTTATTAATTTAAATGATTATAGTTTAAGAGAAATCTAATTAGTTTCTACTCATTTTGCTAATCTTTTGTTTACTAATTAACGAAACGCCCTTTTGTCATTTTGGCTATGCATCGTCTAACCTTAATCTTGGGAAATGGTTCTTGACCAATTGAAAATCCAATTTATATAAGAGATTGTACAAATAAGTCTAATGTTTAAGGAATATTTTACTTCTACAGATGAGCTAATTGTAGGAGTAGAAATTAATCATCCGCTTTAATCCATTATTATATGTACTACTGATATTGCTTGAACTATTTTAAGAGGTAAAGGACTATTAATGGTTTTAAAAATGATAATGCAAGAGCTGCTTAATTAATTGTTTAAAAATTACAGGATATGAAATAAGAATTTTAATGAATGCAAGATCTTTGAAACTTGGAAAAAGGCAGCATACTTGGCAACTAATATGAGAGTTTCTAATTTATTTTTAAATACACTATTAAATGCTTATTTATAAGTCGTCATGCACTAAAGTCTGCAAGGCTAGATTTCACTTCACATGTTAGCTAAAATACTTATATTATAATTATTCTATATTTTTGGTATTCTTAACAAAATCGAGACAAATTATGAGAGACTCCATTATAGATTATTTGTATGCGCTAACTCCTGAATCTACAAAAATTGTTAATCAGTATAGTAATAGTTAATTAATTCTAAATAAGTTTATAGATAATTTGTTCCTTCCTTCTTAAGATATCTCTAAGGCCATAATAAGCTATGTGGAACAAAGATTTAGATTGATTCTCCATTCAATCACTTGCGAGATTGCAAATAGTAATTATGGATGGGATTTTAGTTATTATATAATTGCCATATGAAGATTTGAAAAATTCTATTTGAGAAGCATTTAAAATTCGTCTCCTAGGTAACGTTTAGGTTTTAGATAGATGATAGATACTTTTTTTTCCCTTAAAAATCATCTCTTGATATAACCTATTAATCTATTTAAATATTTACTTTCATTAATAAAAGATAATATTTGAATGTTGGCTTATTTATAATTACATTATCATGGCTTATATTATTAGAATTTTTTTATTTTGGCTGTAAATAATTTCTTTTTCCCATAATATTCTACGTATATTTGACCGATTACAGGGAACTATTTCTATGCAATCAGCTTATATTTCGTCAAAAAGAGAGTCTAATAATTAGAATTATTGTTTGTAGAGAATTGGATGATGTGGAATTCCCTTTTCATAGATTATAAAATAGTGAATCACTTCTAATATCCTGTCGGACTAGATTAATTATTAAAGGAATATTCAAACCAAACTTGCTGAGCTTATGAATTTTCAATTTATGCGGTTATCTATCTTTTATATTAAGATACTATTGTTATGATATCGATGAAGTTTTGCTGTGTATTAATTCTCGGTTATTAATAACTCCATATCAGCAGGCATGTATGAATCTTTAAGAGGAGATAGATAAGATATATAAAGCTGAATGCGAATTCAAGAAATGATTTATGGAGCAATCTTTTGATCTCAATTGATCTCTAGTCCAGTTATTACAATAATAGATTTAATTCGTTTCTATCTTCAATGACACTGTATAGTTTATGAAAATGAAATTTCTGAATGGAAATTATTGGAGGATCTAAAACAAATTAATCTCACTTATTCTATCTGATATTGATTGTGACTCGTTGTTTTACTACTAATTGATAGATAAAGTATCCTTATAAGACTAGTTGGTGCATCATCATTTGACTCAATTTCCCTTAACTCATAATTTCTAATTATTATATCACATTACAATTGATATTGAGAATATAAGATTTTTTGCAGTTTAAATTATTTATATTTAATTAAATATTTATTAATTAAAATGATTTAATCGAAAATGATAGAAAAAGAAGAGGAACTTCAATGCTCTTTAAAACATAAACTTCCTGTTCTTATGATTGCTTGTGATAGAAAATTAAAGAGAAACTAGAGACTTTTATGCTCTGAATGCATGGAAAATCTTGAATCAAAAGCCCAATTAATGAGTTTTAAAAAAGTCCTATAGAATATTGAGGAAAATCAAAAATAAAAGAAAGAAAACGTTGAGAATGTGATAATGGGTAGTATCAAACTGATTGAAGAACTCTAAAAAGATCTTTTTTTATTAAAATCTAATGTTGTTTAATCATTAGATTAAATAATTGGAAATGTAGATGAATGGATCAGACATATAATATTAATTGGGTAATAAAATGTTACTTATAGTTTTTATAATGAATTGGATAATCTTATTAATTAAGAAAGATTAGCAGAATTCGGTTAAAAATAACTAATTGATCAAATTAATTAAATTTAATAATCTTGGAATCAAAAAATTGAAAAGAAACTAAATCTATTTAAATAATTTTCAGAAGGTTAAAAATGCAAAAACATATTACAACAATTAATAGATGTCAATGAAACAGAAGAGAATTAAGGAAAGATAAAAGTGACTTAAGAAAACTATGAAATTAGTATTTAGAATTTTTAGGAAATGATTTAAGTTGAGAATAAATAGAAGTAATTATAATAATAATTGATGATGTATGAATAAGTTCAATTTAATTTAATTGATGATTCAAATTAATAGATTGGATATTGTTTTGCAATAGTGTTCAATAAAGATGGATCAATTATGATTTCATGTGAAAATAAAAAAATAAAAATATGGAATTTTCAATAAGGAACATTTAAATTATCTAATTCTTATAATAAACATAGCCGAGCTGTTACTTGTTTAGTGTATAGCAAGAAAACAAATAACTTTATTTCTGGTTGTAACAATCACTAAATTATATGTTGGTAATAAATTAATCAAAATGAGTGGAAGTCCTCATAACCATTTATATAACATACTGGTAGGGTTAATTGTTTATTATTAAATAAATAAGAGGATCAACTCATTTCAGGAGGATGTGATCATAAAATAATAGTATGAAAAGTAGATTTTATAAACAATGATCTATTTTTGGTGTAATAATCG